CAGTAAATAGAAATGAGGTAATGTATTGTTCAGTCAGTTTCATGATTATAGTCAATAGCACAATATGGGGTAAAAGTGGAAGTTTTATGTGTACTTATTTTCTGCAGTGATCACAATTAAAATAATTCGATGGGCATAGTGTTCAACTCATTTTAGTTTTAGGGGTGTCCGTACTTCTCAGACCAATTTCAGAATGTTTTATTTTGTATTGCTGTTCATTGTTAATGAAGTTTAATTTTTTCGTTAGACTCCCTTAAATAACTTGTATTTGTGCAACAGGAAAAACAAGATACCAAAGTTAATTTTGAGATAGCAAAAACTTGGAATAAAAACAAAGCTTAAAAAGTATACAGTGATGTGTTTAACATCTAATCACGTGGTGTACAAAACGTTCAAATTTATTAGTAGTAAAACGTTTTTACATCTAGTGTCGCTTTTGTTAGCTGATAGTGACGTTATGCTACAAATCAGGATTTAAAATGTTGTAATTTATATAAAGTTTATTACTAATAACATAATTATACCGGTAGAGTCGCTTTTTTTTTGGAAGAAAAAAGAAATGGGCGATGTTAATATTTTCTAGACAAGAGGATTCGAAAACTTGGTAAGAATAAGATTAATTTTATCACAACAGTTACGGAATATAGATAATGTTATTAAAAATAAGAAGTTAATTCACGGAGAACTTTTTTTAAGGCTTAAAGCTGGGTTGCCCTACGATTAGGTCGTCACAATACTTTGGACTAAAGTGGTACAACAAATCTGAAACTGAAAGTTGAATTTTGATGTTATGAACCAAGTTGAATTTTGGGATGGAGAGGGACAATTTTTTCAAGTAAGGTAACGTAAAATAACCAGTAATAATATTTAAATCAGCAAGTTTTAGAACGTTTTATAATATATTTAATGTAAAAACGTACGAAGAACAGACGATGAGAAATATGTTGTATTTCTTTTGTATATTTATGTTTAGGCCTAGTGATATTTTTTTCTGATTTTTAATTTTGTGAACAAAGCAAAAAATCGTTAATAATAATATAAACTAAATTTGTAAAAAATAATTAATAGTTATAACATTATTAACGGTTGTATTTATAGCACTTTTACTTATATAACACATAAAACTCAATTAATAATAAAAACGTTGTTAGTTATAACGCTAAATAACTTGTCATGTGATACATTATCCATGCTCTGTAATAATATATCCTTAATAATATTAAGCACGATAATCAACTGGTAATGGTCTTGATTGTGTTATATATATATATATATATATTATAACCTCGTTTTCATTAGATGGGCGGCTGAACTCGAAATACGGAATTTGTAGCGTGATTTAAAATCCAAAAAATTCGTTAAATAAGTTGTGTTGGATATTTTCTTTGTGTAGGCTAAAGGTAACCATGTAGTGCATTAGTGGTATCTGGTAGCCATGTTTATATCGATATCTTGTAAACGTGTGATAAATTTAGGTATCTAGTGACCATGTAGTGTATATCAGTACCTGTCTAATAACCGAGTCGTGGATATCAATCATGGCAAAAATATACATCACAGTAGAAGCCATATAATGTATACTGCCATTACTGGTATCAGGTAACCATGTTGTGTATATATAATCATATCTTATATATCTAGTAACCATGTTGTGGATATGGATATCTGATAACCATGAAGCGTATATAGAAAATATCTGGTAACCATGTCGTGAAAACTGATGTCTGATAACTAGGGCTGCATTGTAAATTGGAATAAACAATAAATAGTGTTACATACTGGAAACTGGGATGAAAATCTCAAATTTAACCTGGGTCGGGTTCAGACTAGTGATTAGGATGCTAGGCTGTAGCCTACAGATAACACGTTTTACTGACGTAACGATAGTACAAATTGTAACGTTAGGATCCCTTATGTGACGTCATTTCAGTGTCTGTTGACTGACTGACAGACAACACACTACTATATTGTGGTGCGAGGGGTTAATACAGGTGACCCCTCCAAGCGGCCTTCGGTCCCCCTTCCGAAGAAATTATTATGCAATTGCTGTTGAAACTCCAACCAAAGTTAGTTTGGAATTAGTTTTCTTCTACTTCATACTCTAAACAAAGAACTCGGTTACGTAGACGAATATATTAAATCACAATTGCTACGTGTTTTATTATTGGAAGTAATGGTGGATATAACAAATTAACATCATTAGCCCCATATTTGACATTTAGTGGTTGATGCTGAACTTTTAAAATGTTTACTTCAAACGTGAACAACATCGTACGTTTAAGGCGCGGTGTACGGTGTGATTTAATGGCGCTACAGTAAAACGGGCGTGTACGGTGTGATTTAATGGTGCTACAGTAAAACGGTCGTGTACGGTGTGATTTAATGGTGCTACAGTTAAACGGTCGTGTACGGTGTGATTTAATGGTGCTACAGTTAAACGGATAACAGGATTGATGACTTCATCTTCACGTCCCCATAACAACAGTACTGGAAATTGTTGTTAATTTATTACTGACAAGAATAGAAAGTAAGGTTACTTAACTGAAGTTGGAAGGAGAGTGTAACACTGCAACACCGAACTTTTGGTTAAATATAGAATATTCTACAACTTGGCTTCTTTTTTATTGCAACTATAACAAGCAGAAACTTCAATACAAGAAGGTTAAGTTCCCCAGTTTTCTTTTGGGGAACTTACGTTTACTTTACATCTTTACACGGCTGACCACTGTATTATAACTTGGCTGTTTGTTGATATCACGTCTTTACACGGCTGACCACTGTAT